GGGAAACTGTGAGAGATAAAAACGTCATCTATGATTGAATATGTACAAATCCTTCTTTGTTTCTTTGATGGAAGAAATTTATTATCCTATCTTTTTGGAAGGCTAAAGTGCCTATTAAGGTGCAAGTTTTTGCTTGGGCTATTGCACATGGAAAGATTAATACCAATGATATGCTTAAGAAAAGAAGACCTAATAGTTGTTTTTCCCCATAGGGCGGGTGATGTCTAAGGGTGATGTGGAGAGCATTGATCATCTATTCCTTTATTGTCTTATTGCTTTGTCTTTGTGGTTTAAGCTGTTTAGTTTGGCTGTGTCACATCCCAACCCAGAGATGGTACTTTTTGTCTAATTCCGATAGAGTGGACTCCATTTCCCTAAACATAACTTTTATCCTATACATTTTGTTTATGTTTCAATTAACTAACATCAACTAGGTGCGTCAAGTAGTGTTTAGTTTTCCAACATCCCTACATTATTGATTACAAATCTACCATCGAACTCATGATTTACAAAGTCTTTAACCTTACATTATTATAGGACTCAAAACTATACAACTTATACAACCAACTCCAAATTTTGTTTCTTTCCTTAACCGCCTAGTCTTAGTAGTGGACATCCCTTCCTTCTGGATTACCTGAAAATTACAAACTGTGAGGCAGTGAGCACACAAGCTCAGTGAGTATACACAATCATCTAACAATTAACAACAATAATATGTAGTACATAAAACAATAATCATCTTACCAAAATAACTGAACAGTCCTATAAGCCATTTTACAAAAACCTTCATATGTCTCTGGAGGTCATCCCATAATACATCAATTCATCGTAGTAATCAATAGGATTATATAAGTTCGCCACTCACTCAGGCTATGTCTGCCTTTTAGGCAACACTCGCCGCACAAGCAATATCCGCCACACAGGCTACATAATTGTCATTAAAATAATATCTGCCACATAGGCTATATAACTGTCATTAAAGCAATATTTGCTCATAAGGCCACTTAACATAACCACAACACTAAACTTATCACAATGTTGTTATCACCAAACAATTATTCATTAATAGCAAATAACATTAGCTTTTAAGGCTATCTCCATTAGACAGATTACATGACATATCTGTATTGTATTCATAACACCCTCTACTCACATACATTCATATATCAATAAACTCAAACATTCTATTGATATTATCAATGATATGATATAGCATGGACACATTATTAATCATAAGCAATAAATTACACCATCACTCATTTTAAGCGTATTTATGCTAATTCAAGCACACACAACTTGTGTGTAATTCATCCACCTCAGATTCAGCTGTCGTACAAATCCAGTCCCGAAATGGGACTTTTGATGTAGGGGTCAACCCTTCCATTCCTACCACACACCATAATAACTTCCATATAAATATCTCAACATTTACATTTTATATCAATCATGCATGTATGGATATATACTCATACTCATGTTACCATATTCTCAAATTCTTTCCCAAGTGGTGTATGTTAACCTTCAAATCACGACTTATCAATTACCCACTTTCCTTACTTTAATTCTCGATTTAATGTTCAATTCATGTAGTTGTAAGCAACTAAACCCATGAACTTATTTGAGTTCAATTGAATGCCCCAACAAGTTTTTAGAATAGTCAGATGGGACCCCGAAACACCAGCAACAAAACAGCCCAAAACAGTGCCTGATGAACCGGTACAAGTCCAACCGGTTCATCGGTGTTCAACCAGTTCAATCCAAAGCAGGATGCTGTTCAACTGTTTCAACACATGTTCAACCAGGTCATCCTTGAACCGAAGTTTGAAATTCAGTTCAAACTCCTACCTCAACCCTTCTCTCCTTCCCCAATCACATCCTAACCATCGCCAGCACTACCATTAACCTTTTAGAAGCTTAAAAACATACTAGTTCAAAGGGAGTAACATACCTTCGATGTGACCTGATTTTCTTCGAAATCCACCAGAATCACCAAGAACAAGGGACTCAAAGTTCCTAAAACTTCATTGCAACACATCCCCACTCAAGAACTTGGTATATCCAAGAATTATGAAGCTAAATAGTGAAAAGAGTCTACTTTGATTTCCAAGGACAAAAAGAAAATTCCTCATCCGTCACCGTTTTGTAACCGAAAATTCTTCTATCTCAAAATCCATCAAAATTCATTCTCTTCAATCGGTTCTAACAAAAAACAATTCCCCAACCTTTTATACAACCCAAGGCCTCTCCTAGCACCCTCCTCATGCACCGGGTGTAAAGATTGACTCACTCAAGTCTTAATTTACACTAAGTCTCCCCCTAGTTTCCTTTATTCTTAAAATTAACATTTAAGTTTCTTGACTCATAGTAAATTATTTTTAGATATCTTGCCATCTATCAATTCAACCCTTAGAAATCATTAATACATTTCATATCTTTATTTCCTCAATTTCACTAATTGTAATTTAACCATGACTAATATTAAAAATTATGCTTTAACCCCAATCATAGTTGTCAAATCGCGTATCGGAAGACGTATCGTTTTTAAAAAATAGTGTATCGTATCGTATCGTGTATCATAAGATACGCGTAATTTAATTTTTAAATAATTATTAATAATATATATATATATATATATATACCTTTATAAAAAAATATAGACTCATAATAATATAGCATTTTATTAATATTCCACAAAGTATTTAAGTTCCCAACATAGTTCAGTAATATCAAAATGCAAAGACTTCTAATTCAAACTTTTAACATCAACTGATTGAACAACTTTAATATTAATCAGGTATTTTAAACTTAATTAGATAAAATTAACAACATACTTTATTTTATTTTTTTAAACCACAACTACTAAAACGACGTTGTTTCACTGACTAGTGATTTAAAAATAAGTGTTAGGGTAAAACGATATCATTTCAGCCCCACAAAATAAAAAAAAACAGAATCGTCATGTATCGTACGTATCGTATTGTACGTATCGTATCGTACGATATGGTGCAAAAACGATATAAAGATATGATACGTATCGTTTTTAAGGTGTATCATGACGCCACACGATAAGTATTGCGTATCGTATGATACTAATAACTATGACTCCAATATTAAATAAAATGCAATAAAATACATATTCTGGTCTCACTGGCTAAGTTGATTTGGTCCCAAATCATCTATGTCGTTGCTTGTTGAAGAATTGAATGGATTCGAAAGGCATGCTAATGGATTACCATTGTGAAAATATGTGATACTTGCTATTTTTGTGTCATATTGATAGAAAAAAATTCTGGAATTTTTGAAGATCGAAGTTAAATGTTAGAAGGGTTGTGGAACCATATTCATTTTGGGCTTCAGTGTCTAAGGATTTTAAAGATACTCCACTTTTTGCTATTTTGGCAGATGGGAATGCGTCATGTGATTTAGAGCTCTAATTTTTGTTTTCTTTTTTTTCTTCTGTTGTTTTTGTTCATGGTTGAATTTCTTGTTCACCCTCTTTGATATATCGATATTTTATATATATCTAAGTTATGTTCCCTATTAAAAAAAAAAGGGTAAATTACATCTACCTGCCTTGAGGTTTGGTTAAATAACAATTAGTCCTCCTCTTGTATGGAAAATAACATTGACCTCCCTTGTCAGTAACGTCCGTTGCTTTTACTAAAATAAGAAAGTGACTATAATGCCCTAGATCCAAAAAATTCTCTACTTTTTAACCTTTACCTAGTTTTGTTATATCCAATCATACCATGTCACGTCATGCCACAATAAAATACAAAATATAAATGAAAGAATCTTACTAAATTACTGAAATTGATTTTCAAAAGGAAACATAATATAATTCATTCTATCAATGAAATAAATTTTATATCAAAAGTCAGACCAAATCTAATCAATTTATAATTGAGTTAAATTTATCTTCAAGTTCAAATCAAATCTAATTAATTTTGTTAGTTAAGTTAATTTTGTCCTTAAACCCATACAAAATCTAATTGATTCTGTTAATTAAATTATATTTATCTCAAATACAGATTAAATCTAATCAATTCAATTAATTAAGCTAAATTTACCTCAAAATTCGAATGAATTCCATTAATATAGTTACTTTTGTATGCAAAATTCAAACTTTAATTTAGAAACAAATAATATTAGGTGTTTGTTTGGAAACTAATAATATTATTAATATGAAAATGATATATTTGGCAATAGGTTTAGTTTTTCTACTATCTAAATAAGGGTAATGTTGATATTTACAAAAATTGCGTTGCTTTCATCATCAAATTATAGATGTCCCTCTAACAGCCTATTAACGGTTGGGGGAATCTATTACAGACAACCACAGTAAAAGGGAGATCAATGTTATCTCTCATAAAAGAGGGGGTCTAGTTATTATTTGACTAAACCTTAGGGGAGGTGAATGTAATTTACCCAAAAAATTTTTTTGGAGTTGTTATTAGCTGCTTCTATATTTCTGACTTTTCTCTTTGTTGGTGTAGGCTGAAATGAAGTCTCACCCTCATCCAGAAAGACCAGATCGTCTTCAAGCAATTGCTGCTAGCCTTGCAACGGCAGGTGTGCTTATTGACTTTTGTTCCCTTCTACTTGTAAATTTGCAGAGGACGGGGCTTTAAATTGTGTTCCCTACAAAACCCCCCAGCCCTCAGGCATCAGACCAAATTATTCATTGGACTGCCTCTAGTTGCATTTGAATTTTGTAATTTTTTTGATGATATTCGACAAAGGATTGAGAAGAAATTTGTATTACTTCAAAACTTGCAGGTATATTTCCTGGGAGATGCTGTCCAATCTCAGCAAGAGAAATCACTCGAGAAGAACTTCAGATGGTAAGGAACTGTCCATTATCTTGAAGGCCTATGAGGACATACTACACGTTTCATGCAAATTACCTGAGTGTGATATATTGGGGGTTGGATAGCTGAGAATATTTGACAAAATTCATGTGTATGATGCTACGGTGATATACTGGGGAGTGCGTGTAGGATGTCTGTGGTAATAAATTTGAGTTGATCTGTGTGAGAAGTATGCATGCTGGCATTGTGAATGATGGTTGGCCATTGTTTGCTATTTTGGCTAGCAAAGGTTGTAATGGAGATGCAGTAGTTTATTTAGTTTTGAAACCTGTTGTAGCCACCTCCCAAATAATTGATGTTTCATGTTGGACTTTTTCAGGTCCACTCTTCGGAGAATATTGAAGATGTAGAACTTACAAGCCGCATTTTTGCTAGGTGTGTTGTTAGATGTCATTATTTCCTTCTTTCAGTTTCTTTTCTATTTTCATGGCTTCTAGTGGCCTTCTAGTTTCGTCATCTCTCTGTTTGTGTGTTTGTGGATGTATGGATGGTTGGGGGTGTAATGTCCATGCTTGCAATTTGAGCATGTGCTATTGTGATTGATCTAATCCTTTTAATGACAGTTATTTTACTCCTGATACATACGCAAATGAACATTCAGCATGTGCTGCGAGGCTTGCGGCAGGTTTATGTGCTGATCTTGCTTCAGCAATTTGCACTGGACATGCCAAAAATGGTTTTGCTCTGGTAAGAAATACTTAAAATCTTGTTATACGGCGTGTTTTCAAAAATGACAATCAACTCTTATAAGAATGTACTCTCTCTGTCTCCCCTCTCTATTTCTCTCTCCGATGGGTCAGGTTCGGCCTCCCGGTCATCATGCTGGTGTAAAACAGGCCATGGGGTTCTGCCTCCACAACAATGCAGCCGTTGCTGCATCAGCAGCTTTAGTAGCGGGAGCTAAGAAAGTGTTAATTGTTGATTGGGTAATGGCAATAACTCCTTTCCTTCAACTTCTCATTTTACTGCCAGTAGCTTTATTTCATGTGGAGGTGGAAATGCAATGATTTTAAATTTGGAACACTCTGTCCCCACATCTCTTGCAGGATGTACATCATGGAAATGGCACACAAGAAATTTTTGAGCAGAGCAAACCGGTGAGCATTATGGTAGTTATTATTGAATTTTGCATTTATTTAATGCTTTTGCACATTGATCTGCGTGACTTAATATGTTCTATCATACTTGCCTTAAAAGAAAGAAAAGGCTTTATATGCTTAAAGAATGCTTGAGTACCCAATTTTTTGGTTGGACTAAATACATTCTTACTATTAGAATTTTTCTCAATTAAAAGTAAAAAACCCATTTGAAAATATCTAATGGTGAAAAATAGTTGTTTTTCTCATAATAACCCATAGGTTTGCAACTACAAATTATCTTCAAAGAATCCATGTGCCATGTAATTTTTGGTGTATTTTTGATGGGTTGGTGGCGGCAAGAATTCTTACCCATTGTGGGTATGTGCAATTTTGGCAAAAAAAAAAAAAGAACTAAAGCTATTTGAACAGCATGAGTAACTTTGACTAGTAGCTGGTGAGAACTTTAACTTGTACTGTCTCACCAGCTACTGGATAAGCAGTCAAAGAAGCTTCTGCTACTAGAACTTAAATAAACAGAATTTTGTTTCAATTCAATGCATCCGGCTAAAGAGGAAGAGGATCATTCTTTTGTGAAAGTTCCCCACTTACAGTCTGACCAAGATTTTGGGTGGTGTGGATAGAGAGAAATTGCAGAATCCTTGAAGGTAAGGAGGATAAAATGGAGTTGTTATGGGGGAGAGTGAAGTTTTTGGCATCTCTTTGGTCACAGTGATATCTAATGAGTTTCATGACACTCCTTCATTTGTTCTTCTACACAATTGGAAAACCTTTTGCAATTGATCATATTTCTTGTTTACTTCAAATTTTTGGCACATTTCTTGATGTACATTGCTTTTATATATAATAAAATAAAATAATATTTTTTTTTAATAAAAAATGTGTTACGTAGTTTGAGCATTTGCATTATTGTTTAATGATGGTTGAACCTATTTGTAGGTCTTGTATATATCCTTGCACAGACATGAGGGTGGAAAGTTTTATCCTGGTACTGGAGCTGCTGATGAGGTACTTGCTTGATTCTCCTCTCCCCCCCCCCCCCCGTTCTCTCTCTCTGAGCTTATGTTTGTGATCTGCCAGATTTTTTTAAAAATTTCTTTCCGTCGCCTGCATATGGGTGGACATTGCAGTTTTATGGAGAAATACTGTACGAATGGGGTGTCCGCAGTAATGCTTTTAGGTTTTTGAATGGACTGATTTCAAGATGTTCTTGATGCTCATGACCAGGTGTTGAAATGGTGTCATATGGCTTTTAGGAGTCCCATGATGAATAAAGTCTAATCACTTGTTTCCTCGATTAATTGTTCAATCATGTTCGATTATTTTTGTTGGTAGAATGTTCTCTTTTGCATTAGGTTGGACATGATGAAGTGTTTGTGCAGGGCCTTTCAAAACGATATACCAACTTTATTGCCATGTGGTTGAGTCGGATACTTTTCATGGTATTGCATTGTTCGTTTCCTTGCTTCCTTGCCCTATTTTTGTTCTCCATGTGACAAGCCCATTTCTCTGATGGCTGGCATGTGAGAGGGGGTGTTAATGGGTCCAACATTGCTTGGGCCTGGGCTTTGGTATGACTTCATTTATTTTTGTTCTCCCGGCCATCATGCTGGTGGTATTCTAATTCACTTGTTTTCAGTTGGTTTGGGTTGGATGTTATAGCTTAGTGTCAAAATTGGAGGTTCCATGCTTAAACCGGCTAACAACTGGATGCAAATCTTGCTCTAACCACCCTTTTCCTTAATTGATGCCCATTTATGGAACTGAGTTCGGTGTTCATGTGACCCATACATGGTTTAATGTATCGGTCGTTATCAATACGACTTGGTCGTGTTGTACCCGATTCAACATCTTTTAGTCCAATGCAGTTCCACAGTATGGGAAAGTCACAAGTCTCACACGATTCGGCTAAGTTGTCTAATATGTTGACCCAAATGCAATCTAAGAGGATTGGGGGGTTGAATTAGGTTGTGTGAGTTAATGCCTAATTTTTCGCTTTCATGAATTCATACTAATAATGCAATTTGAACAAGAGTATAAAGAATTATGTAGTGTAAGTGATTGTATGATCAATAATATTATGTGTGTAATAGGCAATATATATGATAACTAATGCAATATAAATGATGCAATTAAGTAGTAGGAAAGAAGAAAAACAAACACAATATATCGAGGTTTGACCTCAACCATGATGGCCTACGTCCTCACTTCCCCTTCTCCTCGGAGCTTCTCTTTCACTATCTTAATCTCCTTCAACGGGTGAAGATCAAAACTCTTTACAAGCCTTATATTTTTTAGGAGGTGAAGACACACCTTTACAATTCAAGCTCAAATGATACGACTTTCAATACTCTCCTCTCTTTACAATTAAGAATCAATCAAATAAACTTAGAGAGAGAAAATCACAATTGGTCTTGCAGCCAAGCTCTCATAATAATGATCTTTCCTTGATGTGTATATTACTCTAAGAATGCTCAAGAAGTCCCCACCAACTCCCCAAAGAATGTTACTTCAACAAGCCTTACAATGGTTTTTTTATAGTGGAAGTAAATGGCCAAACAAATGGCCCCATAAACCAGCCGCTGGCGGATACGTCTGGAAGGGTGTCCAGTCAACCGGATGCCCATTCGGAGGAAAAGCAAAACTTTTTGTCCAAGTTTGGAAACCAATCCGAAAGGCATCCTGTAGGCTGGATTTCCCATCTGCTAGGTCGGATCCAGTTTAGCTCTATGCACTTCCATCCATTTCCTAGGTGATTTTGACCCTCAAAACGTTCAAATCTTCGAATGCCTATTTTAGACAAAGTTATAGCGCTCTTGACGCCTTCTATCCAACCCATTGAATCAGGTCATTTGGACATCGGAGTATAGACTTATGTCCCAAATACCGAACACATGTCTGATTTTCCTAATTGTCAGATTCTGTGCACTACCTCCGACTTCCATTCCCCCTTTTTTACCTAGAAGACATTCAAATCTCAAAATTGTTATTTCACATCAACTTGTAGATCTTAAATTTTTTTTTCCACCCACACTTGAATCAAGTCAAATGGACATCTATGTCAAAAGTTATTCTCACATGATCGGGACTAGGTCAAATTGACTTATTTGAACATTCTTCCTTCTTGACTTGTTTCTTCCACTCTTTTACCTTAATCCTTCAAATCTTATTTTTAAGTATCATAATAATCTTCCTAACTTGAATAAGTATCGGATAACAATGATCTTTAAGCTCTTCAAGTTCTTCTCTTATATTCATCACACCGACAAGGTTGTTGAAGAAGCTTCTCATGCCCAATTCTTCTCATCTTTCACTCAACCACTTTACCATTATCTTCATATAGCATCTGCTTATCTTAAATCAACTACTTTAGCCATGCTCACTCTCTTCATTTCTTTGCATTTTCAATCATTTAATTGAGCATTCAACTCATGTACATCTTCTTTGGTTGTTTATACCTGGTGTGACACATTTTCCATTTACAATATCTTTTGTTAAACCTGTGCAATACTTTCAACCAAACTCACAAGAAGATGATTAGTTATACAAGAATGTTTGTTTTCATCAAAACCTTATTTAATCAAATATATGGTCAACACAATACGTCTCAGTCATCATCGAATGGATCGATATGTGACGCCGCATTACGGCCCAAATCTGCTGAAATGTTCAATTTCTTCTACCAAGTATTTCGTGCGTATCTCCTGATACCATTCTTCCACGTCGCAATCAATGTGTCTCTGTGCCCTCCAAGTTAATGATTGATAATGCGCCTTGAACCATGATGGGGTATGTTGATGATGTGTATTAATCAAGTTGCACCCACTCTTAAGCTTTTACATGAGTTGGTGTTTAACAATTGCAGTTACAATGGGAGGATTTTGCTTAGCAATAGGGTTGAAGGAGTGGATTAGAATTAATCTTTTTGTATGAAGATCAAGTTTGTTTCTGCAACTTTGAAAGACTAACGAATTGCAAGACAATCACTGGCGAGATGTGGCGTTAGGAAATGGTTATCCTTTTAAAAACAAAACTGGAAGTATGCTGGTTGGTTGTAAGAGATGTATGGGAATTGAACAATATGATTGGGTTTCCATGTCACACACTACAATAGTTAGTCTTCGCAATGTGTCTGATGTGCTTTTGGTTCTAAAGTTTACGTACTTAGTTAAAGATTTTGTGTTGTGCTAAATTCAGGGAGTGTCCAATAATAGAGGCTTCTGATCATGTTCCAGCAATTGTAGGCACTTTAGTACTGTATTATCTAGTCCATTCATTCATCCATGTTATTAGTCTAATTGTCTAATTGTAGGATGACCTTAAACTGATTTTTTTTTTTGTCAAATTAGGAGAGAGCAACTTGCACCCTGAGAAAGTTGGGATCTAATGTGGCAGCGCTCATACAATCCTCTAATGCTAAATATCAACATGCACGAATGATGCAGATTTTGAAGGGTCTTATAGAGACGATTCGCATTGCAGAATCGAATGGGTTTGGCTTATTTACTTGCAGTTTCAATAGTGGAGGATTGGTATGCTTGAAGGAGTCGTTGGTTTGTGCTATATGCTAGAGCAGAAAGGAGACGTTTCTGAGAAAACTCCGGGACGTTTTTGAGAAAGGAGACGTTTCTGAGAAAACTCTTGGGTATTTTTATATTCACAAAGGCGATGGTTTTTATAATCTTGCTCTTCGCAAGTACTTTAGTAGTACTGATGTTATCTTTTAGGAGTCTAGACCTTATTTTTCTGTTCCTTTTGTTCCTCTCAATTGTACTATTGCATTGTCTCCCTCGTCTCTTCTGTTTCCACTTTAGGCATCAGTTCCCTTATTGTCTGGTGTTGCCCTCGATTTTGACTTCTCCTGCTGATCCTCCACTATGCCTTCCACCACACTTCTCTGTGTTTATTCTCCTAGATCGTGGCCACATGCTACTGTTCCACCATCGACTTCCTCAATGTCTTCAAATTTGACATTCTCTAATATATATAATTCTCTCCCTATTGCTCTTTGTAAAGGGGCTCATTCGTGTGTTACTATCCCATGACTAACTTTGTTTCCTCCCTTTTGCTATCTCCTTTGTTTTTTGTTTTACTTTTCAGTTATTCGATATGCCTGTTCCTAAGACAATAACGGATGCCTTATCCGATCCAAATTGAAGAAAAGCTATGGAAGAAGAAATGGATGCTCTTCATCACAATCACACTTGGGATTTGATTTTGTTACCTCCTGGTAAGTAGGTTGTTGGGTGTCGTTGGCTATATACAATAAGTTTACATTTGGATGGTTTCGTGGATCGTTTACAAGCTCGTTTGGTTGCTAAATGATATACACAAACAGATGTTGTTGACTAGTCAGTAACCTTGTCCCAATTGCCAAAATCTCTTCTATCACAGTTTCGATTTTTCTTGTTGCTAATCTTGATTGCCCTTATTCTAGTTTGATATTAAGGTATCTCAAGTGAGCTCTCGAATTTGGATTGTTGTATTGATGACATTAGCACCTTAGGTTGGATGGGTTCTCAGATGCAGTTTGGGTAGGTTTTTCCTTTGATTGATTATCTACTATGGGATGCTGTACCTTTTTCGGAGGTAATCTGGTTACATAAAAGAGTAAGGGGCAATTTCGATGACAAGATCTAGAGCAGGAGCCGAGTAGAGGGCAATGGTTGACACATGTATTGAGTTAGCACAATTACAACTCTTCTTGCAAGAAACTGATTTTTTAGCTCAATTCCTCTTGAATTATTTTTGTGATAATCAAGCTATTGGTCGTAATGCTTCTAATTTCATGTTCCATGAATGAAAGAAACAATTTGAGGTTGATTGTCAATTTGGTGATATGTTTACTTAATCGCTAAGTAGTACTTCGTTAACGGATATTTGTTCCAAGTTGGCAATTATACATCATCTTGAGGGGTAGTGCTAAAACGTATATGTATAAAATACATATTTTGGGGAGGCAGTAGATTATTCTTATTCTCACGTTTTCTCTCTTTTCTTCTTCATTACAAACCCTAAAACACACGTTCACATCTCTTTTATCTTTATTTGGGGGGGGGGGGGGGATCAGTTTGGGACATTTAGGAACTGAAAGAAGGGTGTGTTCTATTATTTCTAATGGGGAGTTGTACATCTTTCTTTGATGTTGTCATCAATGGCTCTAGTATTCCAATGTTTGCCCTTCAAATATGACTGAAAAACAAATGTGCCCCTTAAAGTTCAAATTTTCTCTTGGTCTATCACGCATTAGAGACTCAATAAGTAATGATTTTGTTCAAAGAAGAAGACCTTACTATTCACTTTTTCTACATTGGTATATTATGTGTAGAAGGAATGAGGAGAGCATGGATCATCTTTTCTAGATTGTCCAGTAGCCTTATCACTATGAAGGAGGTTATCTTTTTTGTTGGGTTTGTGTTGGTTTGATAATCTTCATGAGATTCTATGTTCATCATTGAATTTTGAAGTTTGGAGAATAGGAAAGTTTTTGCGGGTTGCATGGTGTTGGCGACATTATGGGTTCTACATTGCAACTTGTCAAGTTTGGAGATTTAACATAATATTAGAGAACGACGGAGAGTGGTCGAAAAACTTGACCTACATCTCACAAATCACTTGTATTTATATTTAACTCGTAACCATACAAAAGACGTGTATACTCTCTAGTGGTATACTTATTACAACTAACTAATATTTACATAATACCCTAACACTCTTAACACTCTCCCTCAAGCTGGACTATATATATTATATAATCCAAGTTTAGAACAAATGGTTGTTAGACGTGTACGACTCAATGCTTTGGTAAATATATCCGCAAGTTAATACTCAGATCTCACAAATGGAGTCGTAATATCTCCAGCTACTATCTTGTTTTAAATAAAATGACAATCAACCTCAATATATTTTGTTCTCTCATGAAATACTGGATTAGCAGCAATATGAATAGCTATTTGATTGTCACAAAACAACTATAAAGAAAGTTGAACTGAAAAATCAATTTTGTAGAGAAAGTGTAGTAGCCACGCCAACTCACTGGTTGTATGTGTCATTGCTCTATACTTAGCCTCAACATTGGACTTTTGTTACCACGGTTTGTCTATTACTCTTCCATGAGATAATGTTACCTCCTAAAAAAGTACAATAATCAGTAGTTGACCTCTTATCACAAGGATAGCCAGCCCAATCAGCATTTGAAAAGCCTTCCCCTCTAAGATGACTATTAGTTCAATATAATAGTCCAAGACCAGGAGCATGTTTGAGATATTACAAAATACGAGTAACTGCCTCTCAATGTGGTACTCTAGAGCAACCCATAAATTGACTTACAATACTGATTGCATAGAAAATATTCGGTCGGGTGATAGTAAGATAATTGAACTTCCTAACCAACCCGCGATATCAACCCAGATTCTCAAAAGGTGCATCATCATCCATCAACAATTTCTGATTCGGATTCATAAGAACATTAATTGGTCTGCCACCCATCAAACATATTTTCTCTAGCATATCAAGTACATACTTCATCTGGGATAAACAAATACCCTGTTTAGATCTCGTAAGTTCAATACCCAAGAAATATCTGAATTTTTCTAAGTCCTTAGTATGAAATTGGTCTTGCATGAAGGTTTTCAACTTAGTAATTCTCTTAATCATTTTCAATAATCACAATATCATCTTCATAAACCACCAATATAATATATCCGACATCCGCATGTCTATGAAATACGAAATGATCTATCTGACATCGAAGAAGGCCAAACTCTAAAATTACATCTGAAAACTTACCAAACCATACTCTCGGTGAGTGCTTCAAACCATACAGAGACTTCTTTAACCAACCTACTTGCTTATAGTACTCTCATTGAGCAGTAAACCCATGTGGCTACTTCATGTAGACCTCTTCAACAAGTCACCATGGAAGAAGACATTCTTGACATCGAGTTAAAATAAGAGCTAATCAAGATTAGCAGCCAAAGAAATCAATATACAAATAAAAGAGATTTTCAACAAGTCACCATACAAGAAGACATTCTTGACATCGAGTTAAAATAAGAGCTAATCAAGATTAGCAGCCAAAGAAATCAATATACGAACAAAAGAGATTTTGACAACGGGAGAGAAAGTCTCTTCATAATCAATCTCATTGGTCTGAGTAAAGCCCTTAGCAACAAGACGGACTTTGAAACACTGGCCCAAGTTGTGAACATAACTGACACGCCCAAAAACCTTAGGAGTTAAAGAAAATAGGGGCTTACCCGAGAAAAGGACAAAATATAGATTTTGCCCATTTAATACAGACGATGGCATATGATTAATAAGATGCCAAACAGTAAAAATAACATCACTCCAAAAACAACGAAAAATATTCATATGAAAAAACAGAAGATGAGTGATTTCTAATAGATGACGATTCTTACGCTCAACAACACCATTCTGCTGAGCTGTGTAAATACATGAAGTCTAATGAATAATGTCGATTTTACTAAAATAAGCTAAAAAGGGATCAGATTTATATTCTCGAGCATTATCAGAATGTAAAATACGAATGCAACAACCATATTGGATTTTTATTTCTTCACGAAAAGTCTCAAATATAGAGAATAATTTAGAACAAGTTTTCATAAGAAACAACTAGGTCATACGAGAATAATCATTCATAAATGACATAAAATAAAGATATTTATTAGACGAAATATTCTTTATTAGACCCTATACATCAGAATGTACTAACTCAAATAAACTAGACACACAATTATTGTTTTTAGACTGAAAAGACACACGGTGATACTAAGTTGACAAGTTTTATAAGACACAGACGACACATAACTCAGATTAAGAACTTAATGCTTCAAATTTCGGAGAGATGCATGGCCAAGACGGCAATGCCATTGGAACGGAGATGACGAGGTCTGTAGAGCCCGAATAGATGAATCAAAGTCAAAGTAATAGAGACCACCGACTTCATGTCCTGTACCAATCTTTCTCTTCGTCTTGAGATCCTAAACACACAAGAAGGGGGATAAAAGATTACGGAACAATTAAGAGAATGTGTAATCTTGCTAATGAAAAGTAAACTAAAAGAAAACTGAGGAACAAATAATACGGAGGAGAAGGACATATTAGAAGTCAATTGAGTAGTCCCCAAACTTGAAACTTTAAAAGAAGTACTATTAGCAAGAGTAACACTATGTGTGGAATAAGTAGATTGATAGGTAGAAAATACATCAGACGCACTAATCATGTGGTCAGAAGCACCAAACTCTATGATCTAGGAACTGCGAGTGAAAGACAATAAACAAGTGAAAGCGGTACCTGACTGGACAAAAGTAGCAGTGGAGAAAGATAGAACGACCAGTTGCTGAGATAGGAACTCAGTATTCTCCTCCCGTGTAAGGTATAGAGGCAGTAATCGAGGTGTTATCCTGATAGGAAACCTAGTTAGCAACACCCGAAGACTTGTCATATAAATCCAAGCAATAATCAATAGTGTGGCCTCCACGAGCACAGTGAGTGCATGAATGAGACCCTGACCGCCCTCCACGACCTCCGGTAAGGCTACCAATACGGT